CCCCAAAACCCCAAAACCCCAAAACCCCAAAACCCCAGAATTTTGATATCAAATTGAAATTTTTATTTTGGGTGAGGAGTTAAATCAATGCTTAGGTGGTTATACATATACAGATAAATTCTGAATGCATCCATCCTTTCTTTTCCTTCTCTTGCTCTTTTCCTTATTATTACCATAAAAATCTCCGCTCTGGCTAACACTGTGCTTATATCTCCCTTTCTTCTTAGAATTCCTGCTATTCTGGTTCTCTAAAGCTACCATTAAAAGACTCAGATGAATAAAATGATGTCTAAATACTACAAGTAACTACTTTGACTCTATGCTAACTTGGAATATGACTATATCGAGCTGAGGCACAATAAATTTCCTGCTGTTTAGCACCTAAGAAATGAATGACCCCTACCTTTATCATCCTCTTTAGCACTCTGGAGCCTAATATGAGTCATGAAAAAGAAGCTTACCTCTTCTTGATGCCCTCTCATTTTTGAAACTGCTTTCTTTTCCTTGGGATTGCAGTATCAGCTCTAGAGGCACGGCCAGTAGAGTTACTCGCTTCCCCAATACTCTTAGTAGTTCCATGATGTAGATGGGATATCTGTGATGAAGAGGTCTGATGGTTATACGCAAGTATAAACTCTCCAATACGGCTATTCCCTCCTGTAGAGTCACCTAGCTTCTGATGGCTCACAGTTGTGAGCCTCTCCTCATCCATATTGGTCAGGCCTTTCTCCCCATCAGCTGCTCAAAGGATGAAGTTGTTACTGAATCTTCTCTGTTTGCCACCTCAGATACTTTTAGCTAAGACTCTTGACTTCTTCCTTTTAATCTTTATCTCTTTGGTAGAGATAGATGTCTTTTCTCCAAAAGGAATCATCTTCTTTGGGATGGTTATATCTGACACCAGGGCTGAAGGCACCGGGCATGCCTCCATCTTTAGATCTGATGTAATTTCTCCTGTTGTCGATCTCTATAAGTCCAGGTTTAGGTACAACAACTTTTGGGAAATTCTGGTTGAAGTCCTGCTTCAAAATCTTTCTTTGGCTTCAGACAATTTTTAAGTATATTTAATTGAAAGTTCTAAGACCAAAGGTCTGGGTAGAGAATTACTAATAAAAAGGTAGGATAAGTTTCTCTCATTACTACAGAACTTTAATACACTGTAAACCTATGATATTTTCATTTTAACTACTCTTATCTCTTAATAAAAACAAGGGTCACTAAATCTGAGAGTATATGACTTCATGCTTAGGTCAAAAATATAGCTAACCCTAAACTTTTTATTTATACCTCTCTAAGGAACATTAGGAGCTATTTCTGATTCTTCGAAACAACTCCAACCTTTATGTTATTAATAGAAGCAGTTTTTAAAACTAAATCAAGGAATGGTGGCATCGTACCTTCAGATTTCAGCTGATATTTTTCGTATTAATTCTCCTGATTTTGCAATTGTTCTCTAAGAGCTTGTCCTTCAGGCCAATGCTGGAAGAGTCAGAATTGCTACTATAATTATACTTTCTTCTAAAACTATTGTGATAATTTTTGGTAATTTCACTAAGGATCTTCTTGCTGTCTAACTTCTGAGCGATCTGTCTCCTGATCACCTCCATATTATCATCAGGGTACAAGTCTTTATTACGGGTGTCAATCTGGTTGATTGGGGTCTGGTTCCTAGGATAAGCCTCCTGCGGTCCTCCCTTGATTAAGATAGTAGAACTGCCATCTAAGCAGAAATATTTACTCAGATCCTTTAACGCCATTGAATACTTTGGAGGATGGTACTTATGCTTCTCTAATGACACCATTTTGGTATAATATTTCTCAAAATGCTTAGCAAATTTCTTTTCTGATATGATATCTCCTATATAAATTTCTCTGAATCATTACCTTGAGATTCCTTATTCCTAAATTCGCCAGTTGTGAGTGCCTTAAAGACCATGTGCTGAAGCAAGAACAGCATGTTATAGGCAGCTTTGTTATAAGTGGACTCTTTGTGCCTCGTGCTGAAGCCATTGTAAACAGACATTTCGGTTTAAATTTTCAAATTATATTGGCTTGCAGGGGTTTTGGGGTTTTGGGGTTTTGGGG